GCCTCTTAATATCCACTGACTCCTAACATTATAGGAACAGATGCAGATAGAAGAGGGTCAGAGTGGTACTCTCCAAAACACAGGGCCCCCTCTTACTCTCCATATAATGATGGTACTGAACAAGGTATTAAAACATCTTTCATATTTTTATAGTTTGAATTGTTGGTCACTAATCCAATTTGAAATGATGCCCTGAAAAAAAGTTGTCTAAAGATCAGCTACTGAAAAGGCTCATACTTCCTATGCTGTCCCTATCTGGGCTCTTCACCTCCCACTACTTCCAAGGAAACAGCACAACAGGCAGAGGGAAGATAAGACGAAAGGTCAGCAGCAAATTATAGCTTGCTCTAAAATTTGAGAAATCTGAATCAGAGAAGCTCTAAAAACTGTGTCTACTTTGAAGAAATATCTGAGTTTTTTGATTGCTCAGATTCATTTAAAATATTTATGAAATGACTATTACCTACCAAACAATGTGCTGAGCACTGCAGATAAAAAGAGGAAAATACTAATAATGTAGAAAAAAGAAAGACAAATGAAAAATAACAGTAATGCATTATAATAACTGATCTACTAAATACTGAAAATGTAACAAGGACACAGGAAAAAAAAAAGAGTACTAAATTTAACTGGGAATTACAGCAAGATTCAGAGAAGAGATAGCAAAATTACGAGTATAAGCTTTGGGGACAATCAGAAAGGAGTGTACCTAAGGCTGATGGATCAGATCATGGAAAAACATAGAGGTAGAAGAACAGGTCATGTAAGGAGAACCATAAATGTTGATTATTATTAGAAGGGAGTGGTAGGAAGTAAAACTGGAAAAGTTAGGGCAAACCCCAAAACCTATTGACATACCAACAACATCCAAAAAATTTAGACTTTATCATCAAAGCAAGGAAGAAGGAAGAAAGAACATTGAACATTGGATAATTTAATTAATTTGAATGTTAGCAAGAGCAATTGTTAGCTACACTGGAGAGTAGGGAACCCTAAGGTTCTGGAGTCTAAAAAAAAGACCCTTGCAATCATTCAAGGAAGACATAATAAGCATCTACATCAGGCAGCAAATAAGATAGAATAATAGAGAGACAATAAACATCTTGAAGTAGAGTTGTCAGGATTAGACATGAGAACAAGGAAGAGGAGTCAAAAGCAAAGTTCTATCAAGCATAAAACTGGCATTTCAATCAATTCTCAAATTCATTCGATGTTCACTTATGTGACTGTGATGATAAAACAGTGACACCTCCATATTGTGACCCAAGACAACGTGTTTTGACTTTGTTCTGAGGACTGACAGAGAGTTGGAGTCACATATGCTTATTTTGAGGGATGATTATGTCAGGTACATAATCCACCAATACTGATAAGCTGTGGTCCTGCCTCTCTGAAGTCCTAAATGAGACTCATCTATGCAACTAAAGAATATGTATATAAATATTATGACCACTTATCTTTATCCCATTCTCCCACCCAAATTTACACAATTTGCAAATAAGTTCAAGCAATAACTAGAACTTCTTTGTAGCACATTCAATCTATGTTTCCGATTCGACTTGTGGAGTATTTTAACCCTTTAACCACTAATTTGTTTCATTAAATACTTACATTGTCTTTTGTTTCTCAATGGATTTTTTAACTTTTCGAAGTTTGTTAGTCATGTCATAGGCTTCTTTATCAGCTTTAGGAGGTCTTTGTCTCTTTTGCTTTTGCTCCAGGAAACTTCTCACACATATAGCTGTTTGTTCTACATCTCTTAAGTTGAATCTACAAGCAAATGAAAAGACCACTTGCCTTGAAAACAGTGTCATAAATAAAATTCAAATCATATTTCCATCTACTGTTAACATCCTGACATATACCTGTTGAGATTTTAATATCCATCTTTCTGAGTTTTATCCTGAATAGGCATACAAGGTATTCTGGGTCAGCAGATTCCTTATTAACTACATTATAGTAAACAGTAAGTTCCTCTCCTTGTTGAGACCTTACCCCTGAGGCAACAATGAGAGCCCATGAAAATTTTTCCTGTAAGAGTAGGTAAAATACTCCACAGGTAATGGACAGAGAACAATGGATTTTCTCTATTTATATATAGAAAAGGGATTGCCCCCCCAAAACAAGATGAGAAAAAAAAGTTTAAAAACAAAAAAGAATTATGCTCTTTTATTGGTATTGTTGTTGTAGTTGCTCTTGTATTTAATTCCACTCAAATTTAGGCCTTTCTCCTAATAGAATCAAAGGCCCTTAGCATTATATAAATATGTGTAAGTTCAGATTACACAAATCTTTTGTGAATTTTAGAGACTCCTTTGTTTTTTTTCCATTTTTATTGAAATATAATTGACATGTAACATTGTGTAAGTTTAAGGTGTACAGCATGATGATATGATACATCTGCATATCACAAAGTGATTACCATAATAAGGTCAGTTAACACATCTGTCACCTCTGGTGGCTGCCTTTTGTGTTAGTCTGAAAAGATTTAAGATCTACTCTTTTAGCAACATTGAAGTATACAATACAGTATTATTAGCTATAGTCAACATGCTATACATTATATCCCCAGAACTTATTCATCTTATAACAGGAAGTTTGTACCCTTTGACCAACATCTCTCCATTTCTCTCACTCCTACCCCCCTGAGACCCTGGCAACCACCAATCTACTCTCTGTTTCTATGAGTTCAGCTTTTTTAGATTCTATATATAAGTGAGGTCATACAGTAAAATTTTGCTCTTAGGCAGGAATGGTATACTGATGAAGTAAGGATTAAATAAATGGCAGTCTATGACACATGGCAAGAAATTTTATATAGTAGGCAATAAAAAAATAAAGTTAGTAAACATTTAAACATGCTATTTTTCAGACACTAAGTATCATAAATCTATTAATCCATTTTGTACTCACAATCACCCTATGAGGAAAGCACCATTATTTTCCCAATATCATAGATGAGAAAATGGATATATAAAGAGATTAAGTGATCTGTCCAGGAATCCACAGCTTGTATGTGGAGAGTCCGGCCTCCAAAGCCCATGTTCTTAGTCATGAAATCATGTTACTTCTTTTTTTATTTTAATGCAATTTACTTCATCTAGGTGTACATTCTGTATGAAATGGCATCATTTTCATCATAGAACCTCATGTTTTAAAATCTAGATCACTTGCGGGAGGGAGGAGCAAGATGGCGGAGGAGTAGGAGACCTAAATTTCCTCTGGTTCCAGGAATTCAGCTAGATAGGGATCAAACCATTCTGAACACCTACGAACTCAACAGGAGAT